CCCAGGAAAATGAATACTTGGGGTTTTTGTGGCAGCTCAGTGAACAGAAGGTTCCTGGCAGCCTCTCCAGCTGTACCTGCTGCCCCTGCACCATCAGCTCCTCACCGGGCACCTCAGCTTCCCTCTGAGCAGCAAGGAAAGCTCCTTTTCTCACCCTCCTGCACACCAGGACAGGTCAGTGTGTGCTCACCACACATCCCTGGTGTGCAGGGCCCAGAAATCTCCCCTTTCCCTCTCACCAGACCAGAGTGACCCCCAAGCTGTGCCCCAAAACCTCCCCCCCCAGCTTTAACAGCCACTTCCACAACCCTGAAGGTTTTTAGACCACAAAAAGCTGTGAGGGATGGAACAATCAAGCATGTGGAATGGAAATGTGGGTGTCGTGGACCTGCAGACCAATGAAGAGAAAACAAAGTGCAAAAGCATCTTAACAAGCACACCAGAAAGACACCAGCTGGACTGCAGAGTGAGGAAGGAGCCACCAGCTTCACCATCATCCTCCTCACTGGCAGGGACTCCAAGTTTTGACGACTTGATGCAACTTTCCCCACCAGGCTCAAGTCACCAACTTTGGGGCCCAGAGGAGCAGTGAAAGGGGGAACAGGACCCAGGGAACTGGCAGAAACTGAACATATAACAATTGATGATGATGATGATGATGATGATGATGATGATGATGATGATGATGATGATGTTTATTGCTCCTACCACTTTTTCTGTAGAGAAATATGTTTCCTTCTTTTTTGCCTGGAACAACTGGATCTGGACTGACAATGATTCCTGTATTACACTGTTTTCAATTACCCTGACAATTAATTCTTGGCTTTACACTTCAAGCTCGTTTGCTTTTTGCCTGTAAATGGGCTTCTGATCATAACACCACCCACGGCCCTTGGTGGCCTTGGCTGTGGGGACCCACGTGGGGCCCCCCTGGGTGTCCCCACTGAGATCTGAGCCCCCAGGAGCCCCAGGCAATGATGTGCTGGTGCAGCCCGGGGGTGCCCAGGGCCACTCAGCACACCCTGAAGCAGCTGCTCACCCCAAATGTGACCTGGGGGAAGAAGCATCCAAAGCAACTCCATCCCAGCCCCTGGAGTTGGGCTGCTCAAGGAAAAAGCAGCTGGATGGAGCAACTGGGGCTGCCCCAACCACCCACCCGCCCCGTTGAGCAGGAGGGAACAGGCAGGACCAGGCTGAGCAGAGAGAGGTTCCCCATTTTCTGCACAAGCCATCCCTGCAAGGAGAAGGTTGACACATCCACCTGGGACACACTGAGAGGCTTTCTGGAGAGATGGAGGGATGGGCACACCCATGAACATGGTGTCTGGGAGGGAAAAAGCTGCAGAAAGGGTAATAAAGGGTTGAAGCCACGAGCACGTGGTTAAACAGCTTGTCCAGGTGGCCAAGGAGGCCACCAGCATCCTGGCTGGTGTCACCCCAGGGTGGGCAGCAGGAGCAGGGCAGGGATGGTGCCCCTGTGCTGAGGGGAGACCTGCTGGCTCTGCAGCTGCTGAGAGGAGGTTGGAGCCAGGGGGGTCGGGCTCTGCTCCCCAGGAACAAGGGATGGGACAAGAGGGAACGGCCTCAAGTTGTGCCAGGGGAGGTTGAGGTTGGATCTGGGGAACAATTCCTGCCTGGCAAGGGTTGTCAGGGCCTGGCCCAGGCTGCCCAGGGCAGGGGGGAGTCCCCATCCCTGGGGGGGTTTCCAAGCCCTGGAGATGGTGCTGAGGGACACGGGGCAGGGGTGGCCTGGGCAGGGCTGGGGAAGGGTTGGGTTGGGTGACCTCAGAGGTCTTTTCCAACCCAAAGAAGTCCATGATCTGAGTCCACCACATGGCAAAATGGTCCCTGTGGCTCCTGCCCTGCACAGACAAGTCTCCCTGACAAACTGAAACTCTTCCAAGGACTGGAAAAGATTCTGCTGGGGCAGATCCAAGTGACTGAGTCTACCTGGATTCCCAACTGCTCAGAGCAAGGTCCCCACCAAAGGTCACCCAAGTGGCAGCCATGAGATGAGATTCAAACCCTGACAATAATGGAATAATAAAACCCCAAAGGACAGGTCCATGGCTGGTTACCCAGGGGGTCCCTGCAGAAGCCTGGGCTGGGATTCCTGCTTGGCCAGGAGTTTTGTCTGGGAATGGGAAGGGAGGACAGAGGAGGCAGCCAAGTTTCTCATGGTATTAAATTACTCCAGGAACAAGAAGCACCAAAATCTGCAGAAGACCCTGGTGAGACTGAGTCACTGAACAACAAACTCCAGATTAAATTAACCCAACAAGCCACAGTTGGTGTAAACACCGAGTGAGGGAGGCACCAGGGGAAGGAACCCAGCTCAGCGTGGACAGAAAGGGACAGGCTGGTGGGGAACAATTATCTCTGAGGAACAAACTGTCAGGGCTCTGATAGTGTCACCACAGCCCAGCTCAGTAATCAGCCCAAAACCACCCAGATGCCAGAGATTCCTCAGCAAGGAAACAAGGGCAGGAGAGCAGGGAGAGGCTGAAGTGCTGCTGCCCTCCTGGTGCCTGGGGGGGAGCAAAACCCTTGTCATGGGGAAATGAGTGGAAAGAGGAGACAAGGGGAGATGTGATGGTTGGCAGAGGCTCAGGGGTGGTGGGGGAGGGTCTCCTGGCTGTCACGGGCTGTAGAACTAGAATCATAGAACTATTCAGGTTGGAAAAGACCCTTGGGATCCCCGAGCCCTGTAGGAGCAGGAGGAAATCAAAGCAGCACCATCTGGTTCAGAAGGAACATCCCAGGGTGGCTGTTCATCCAGCTTGTCCCATGGAACCACCAAAGCAGGATCTGCTGCAGCCCAGAGCATCACCCCAGGGAGATGAGCCCAGCAGGGTCTTCACCCAAACCCCAGTGATGGGCTTGAAGAAAAGAGCAGGACCTGAGCTGGCTGAGGGTGCTGGGTTCCCCAGGGGCTCTGTGGGCAAACTCTGCCTTTCAGCTTCAGGGACTGTCCTTGGGTGTTTGCAACTCAGTTTGTCCTCATCAGCTGGGGGTTTGTTTGTGTGCTGGGAGTTATGGAGGTGGGGAGGGATGGGAGCAGGGGGAAGGGTTTCCAGCTGGCAGAGGGAGCTGGAGCTGAGATGGGAGGGAGAAATTCTGGGCTGTGAGGGTGGGGAGAGCCTGGCCCAGGTTGCCCAGGGAAGCTGTGGCTGCCCCATCCCTGGCAGTGTTGAAGGGCAGGTTGGATGGGGCTTGGAGCAGCCTGGGCTGCTGGGAGGTGTCCCTGCCCATGGCTGGGGACTGGGAGTAAATGATTTTAAGGTCCCTCCAATCCAAGCCATTCCATGATTCTCTGATTATTCTCCCCCCCCAGGCACCCATTCCTGGGGGTTATTCTCTGATGAGCTTCAGCCCATTTGCATTAATTCTTGGAGCCCTGGACCTGCCCCTCCTTGGCTGTTTTGTTTTGTCTGGTGCCCCCCGGGGTGAATCCAAACCCCCTGGTGTGAAGAGCAGAGACAAACGGGTTTGTTTTGAAGGGCCCAGGCTGATAAGAGCCTTGAGAAAAAATAACCAGCGAATTGTTTCCCAGGCCAAAGGGTGTTTGTGTGTGTGAGAGAGGCTGGACTCCCTGGCTGGCACCAACACAGCTGCTCCTAAGGTAACAAACCCTGGGAGAAGTTCAACCTCCCAGAGCAGATGAGGAAGGTGCCAAGTGGCAGCACCTGGGCTGGGAGGTTTTCCTGCTCGAGCTGCCCAGGAGCTGCTGTGTGAGGGGTCTGAGGTGCTGCAGGGGGCTCAGATCCTGCTGGGTTGGTAAGGTTGAGTTCTCTGCTGTTTCTTTGCTTTTCCCAGCTTTTTTTTATTGGTAAAATATAGGGTTTATGCAGGTCAGCTCCTTCCTAGTCCTCAGGTTGATGCAAGTCCTTCCTTAGCCTGGTTGTTGCTTCCTCTGCATCATTTCATGCCATTTCAGTGGGCTTGGGGCTCTGTGGTGGTTCAGGTCCCTTCCAGCCTGTTCTCTGGCTCTATTTCAATGCTGCCAATGGTTCATCTTGTTCCTGTGCTTTGCAACGTGTGCCTTAAAAAGGGGGTTTCATTTTTCAAGACCCCTGTGCTGAACTGACAAGGGCTGGGAGGGAGCAGCTCAGTGGCCCTGGTGCTTGCTTGGCTGTGGGGCAGTTCTGCATGGCTTGGGTCTCAGTGAATTGCTCTGAGAGCCCTGCCAGCCTCTGGAGGGGCAGAGGGGGCCAAAACTTGTCTGTGTGAGGTGCCCTCTGGTGCTTAAGCCAGGTCACCTCTGGGGAGACCTGTGGGTGACCCAGGAGCAAGAAAACCAAAGGAGAGTGGTGAGACCCTGGCCCAGGTTGCCCAGGGAAGCTGTGGCTGCCCCATCCCTGGCAGTGTTGAAGGGCAGGTTGGATGGGGCTTGGAGCAGCCTGGGCTGCTGGGAGGTGTCCCTGCCCATGCAGGGGGGACACTGGGTGGGCTTTGGGGTCCCTTCCAACCCAAACCTTTCTATCAGCTGCCTCACTCTCCAGAACATTCTTGAAAACAAGGTGGCCCTCCTGCAGCTCGTGGTCCTCACGAGATCTGGGTTTCACTCCTGCACTTCCAGCCAGCTCCTCTGCAGGCTGGGGATGTTCCCTCACTGGCAATGGCTCCTTGCAGGAAGCTTGAGATCTGAAAACTCTGCCCTGAAACAGGGGGGTGGGTTAATGCAGAAGGACCCCACTGTGCTGGGGTCCCCAGCAGCCTCCTCTTCCCCATGGGGGATGTTGGAGGTGATGGTTGAACAGCCCGAGTGCTCCACGGGCTGTTTATCTCCATGGCCTTGTCCAGAGAACCACCCAGAGTGACCTCCCAGCCTTGCTTTGGTGGCTGCAGTTGTGCAGGGAGCTGCTGCTGGGGCTGCTTGTGCCTCCTCGGGGGTTCCCAGCCTCAACAGCACCTGGTTCACTCTTGCTTGTGGCAAAACCCTCTCCTGTGTTGCCCCTTTTTCCATCCAGCTCCCTGATCCACCCGGGCTGGCTGTGGGGATGGGAGTGGGGCAGGTGCTGCTGGTGTTCTTGGCTGCCTCCAGGGTGATGCCCATGAAGGACCCACTGCTTAACATCTGCATGGATGCCAAGCACCACAAAACCAAGCCTGGCCCAGAGGGGATGCTCCATGGCCAGGTATGGCTCTGCTGGGGGGTCCAGGGGGGGTTGCTGGGGTCCTATGCTCATCCTGCTCCAGATTTTGGGGCTCAGCAGCCACTTGCCTGAGGAGCAAGGCCAGTGCTGGCCACAGGGCTTGGTTGTTTGGTCTTTTCCTCTAGCAAATACCCAGAAGATGGTGGGAGGGTTTCACCAGCTCAGAGGCACCCCCCTCCCAAAGCTGGGGTATCCAACAGCAGAACAAGGTGAAGGATGACAAGGGAAGACACTCTTTTCTGCTCCTTCTCTGTGCTGGAGTCTCCTTTTCCTAGGTGGAGAGCTCTGCCCCCAGGTCCGTGGTGGGATGGGGCTGAGAGCAAGAGAAGGGAGTTTGTTCCTGCTCCTCAGGTTGGCACCAATTCCTGGTGAGGACCTGACCTTCAGAGTCCTCCTCCTGCTCTCCCTCCAACTCCATCTTGCTGCAGCCCTGAGCTCTTCAGTCCAATGTGCCCAAGGCTCCTTGGAGCTGGAGGACCGAGGGTCCCTGGTGCCTGGAGGGTCCCTGCTGCAGGCTACACAGGGAGGTGGCACCTGCAGCACCCTCAGCCCCCCAGGCTGCTGCCTGACCTGCCCTGCCCTGTCCTGCAGTGCTCCCCCTGGAAGGACAACGCCTGCTGCACGGCCAACACCAGCTCAGAAGCCCACAAGGACCAATCCAACCTCTACAACTTCAACTGGAACCACTGCGGGGTGATGCCCCCCAAGTGCAAGCGCCACTTCATCCAGGACACGTGTCTGTACGAGTGCTCCCCCAACCTGGGGCCCTGGATCGACCAGGTAGGACCAGATCACCTGTGGATACAGCAACAGGACTTGTGCTGGTCACTTGATGTGTTGTTCAGCCCAGATGGTGTCACCTGATCTGTATGGGGGTGTCATGGTCCCTGCCTGGGCAGGGACACCTCCCAGCAGCCCAGGCTGCTCCAAGCCCCATCCAACCTGCCCTTCAACACCCCCAGGGATGGGGCAGCCACAGCTTCCCTGGGCAACCTGGGCCAGGCTCTCCCCACCCTCACAGCCCAGAATTTCTCCCTCCCATCTCAGCTCCAGCTCCCTCTGCCAGCTGGAAACCCTTCCCCCTGCTCCCATCCCTCCCTGCCCTTGTCCCAAGCCCCTCCCCAGCTTTCCTGGAGCCCCTTCAGGC